AGAGGGGAAAAAGGCCATTGTTGGTAAGGGTGCAAAGAAGCTGCAGACCAATATTGACCATTTGACACATTATTTCCAGCCAGAGGAGAGGATCCCTGCCAAACTACAAAAGTTGTCCGATCCCTCTCCTCTGGCTGGTCCACAACACACAAACACACAGACACACAGACACACATCCACAGCACACAAACACCCACCACACAAACACCCACCACACAAACACCCACCACACAAACACCCACCACACAAACACCACAAATGGCACCTCCATCCATGGACTGCGACGCCGAAATGGCACCAAAGGATCCTGAACTTTGTCAGTAAACAGACAGAAAGTACACTCCAAATGATGCATTTCACAAATAACTGCCATTGCTATATTTACAGTAATTCGACAAATATGGACAGGGAGGAGAAAGGAGACGCTCTGGTGCAAGTTTGGGCCATATAAAGTGTACACAGAAAACATAATGGACTTGGCCCCAGGGAAGTGGTTGGAGGGAGAGGTAAGTTACAAAACAAAAGAATATTGGACTGATATTTATTGAGATTGTATCACAAGTTATTTTTGTACTCTTAGATCGTCAATTCATATTTGACTATGGTGGGAAGGAAAGCTGGCGCTCTCCTGATAGACCCCTACCTCATGACGTCGCTCTGGGAGGGAACCCACAAAGGTTCTTTGAGAAGTGTGAATAGGACTATATAGTAGGATGATTTCTTTTTTTGTACATAAGTAGGCCTATGTATTTTGTGTATGTATGTTTGTTTGTCCATACAAACAAATACATACTTATGTTAGTGTATGCATTAGTTGTTGGAATTATAATATTTGTTTTTAGTTGGACCTTTTAAAACATGATGTGGCAGTTGGAGCAGTCTGCCACCACGGACACTGGACACTGATTGTAAGTAATCTTCAACGTAAACAGATCTAGACGGAACCATGACACTATCTGATGTAGGGGTTGGTTATAATTAGTATTTGCATTTCCATAGATCATGTACCTAAAGGAGAGGCGGTCCCTGTACTTGGACCCATTTGGGGCCACAGAAGCACAGATGGAAAAATGCAAGGACGTAACAAGGTGAATGAAATGTCAGCTTTGATGTGTGCATTAGATAAATACATGTATTCATACACCATGGATCATCTTTTGGGAGCAACAAAAAGGTAATTCAAGCATTTTTGTCCTTGAACAGGATTCAAGTGATCTTGAATTAAATGATTTGACTTGGGCATATGTTAAAAATGGCAAACTGTAATAAATGTGTGTTTTGTGTGTAGAGCATTGGTCCGCAAGAAGAGTCCGGCAATAGGGAGATGGGCATGCGCAACCGTTGCTCACCCTAAGCAACAGGACTCGGCATCATGCGGGGTGTTTGTGTGCAAGGTAAACATTTGATTATATCTGTTGCTATTTGTCATTATTAACCTCTTAAGCACGGCGGTCCCCCCATTGGACCCCTCCCACCGTTTTTTTTTTCGAGATAATGTCCCAGGGCTTCTTAACATTTATGAAACTATTAATGTGTAGCACCAGATTAACGGGAAGAATCTCAGCTAACTGAAGATATGAACCATTTTTACCAAAACAAAACACAAGTCTCATAAGAAGCGTCTAAATGACCACTGAGCGAAAAAATTCGAACGCACTGCGGCACACAATTCAAGATAAAGATACCCTTATTACTTATCGTAGATGCACATACAATATAGCCGATTAAAGCTGAGACTCCACTGATTATTTAGGTATAGTATCATCACTGAGCGATCCGAACTTGCGACAGGGGAAGCAAACACAGACATCACAACACGTACCTTTACGGAGCATTTACGGCAGATCGTCTCACCGTAGCTGTCAATTAGGTCAAAAGACGTGTTCAATGGCATTAAAACGAAAAAAAGAAATGCTACAACTATTGATCCATAGGTTGGTAATGTACCTGTGCCTTTGAAGAAATTATTTATAATCCATAATTCCATTTTTTATGTAAAAATCGGAGCGGAAAATATGCAGCTTCCGGTTTTGGTAACGCGTCACTCTCACTCCTTATTTGTTAACGTTTTGGTGTGTATATAACTTTCCCTCGATTCCATTGGCTCTAGCGGTTATAAAGAGATTTCATTCATTAAAATCGAGCAAGGGGGGCCAGAGATAGGTCAAATCCACCCAAATGTTTTTTGGCTAAATCTCTCTAAAAAGGTAAAATGTCACTTGTTTTGCATTAATCTTGATACAGGGTACTTATTATATGTTGTACTTTGGATTCCTAAAGCTTTTAGTCTACTAACCCATCATCCAAGGGTAGTTTTCACTATAAGTAAAAAAGAATTTTTGGACGGACACTAAAATGTACAGTTTTTTTACTATGTAAAATCTGAATTTTCTTTAAAATAAAAAACATCTATATTGATTCTGACTTTTCTACATCCAACTCACAGGTTTATCATTACTTTGAGAAAAAAGATTATTAATTTAACCCTTTTAGAAGTGTAGTTATGGTCATTTGTTCTGGGAATGTCATTTTCGAGCCTGAGACCTGAAAAACAGGCTCAGGGCTTAAGAGGTTAAAAAGTGCTCCAAATTATACTTATCGGACACTTTTTAGCTTGCAGAGCAGATATTGTCTGGCCAAACCGTCGACTACCCTGTTGACCAGAAGGGTGTGGCCATGTTGCGGCTGGACATGGCAATGTCTCTGGTGACAAATTCAGGTATACAGAGCTCTACCAGGTATACTTGAATGTGTCTATATTGCCATTAAACTACATTATCTTATTGTTTACAGATGACCTATCCCAGCTCTGCAGGGCTTGTGGGGAGCTCAGCTCGGGGGCTGACATTGATACGTGGGTATGTAGAGAAACTCATGTCCTGACCAACCTTCTGCTGGAAGACTGGGATGCACCTTGGATAGGTTACCTCAACATCACTGGGTGAACACTCACTATCACACAGCTATTGAAAATGTATAGTTTAATTCACCGAACTTGCATGTCTTTGCACTTTCGGTGGGCACTGGAGCAGCTGAAGGAACATACCACAGACTCCAAACAGAAAGGACCACAGCTAAGATGTTAACCCTATATCTGACACCCATTGCCATACTATGTAAAGAAATAATGTCTAAGGAAGTTAAAACGGCTTCATTTTACATCCTAATCAGGATGATTGATGTGAACCTGACAAAATGTTTGACAGTATTCTAAGGTATTTATCTTTTTCCCTGTCAGATTGAGTGCACCACCTGTCAAATGTGGTATCATGTTGGATGCATGGGACTGCCCTCCACAGAGGACGAGTATTTTTGCCCTGCATGCAAGTCTTGAGTACAACCTGCCTCAGGAGCTGCTGATCCAGTTCTACTCTTTTTACTTTCAACTCTGTCTACCCATAATCCCCCCCCCCCTCTCAATCAACTTCCTCTTGACTGCCTTTTCTGTTTATTTTATTTTACTATATTCATTTCACTCTGCTGACCCACGACTGCAAACCCACCTTCAGCACCAACCACATCGTGAAGTTTGCAGACGACACTACTGTGGTGGGTCTCATCAGCAACAACGATGAGACTAACTACAGGAAGGAAGTGAACCAGCTGGCCCTGTGGTGCCAAAACAACAACCTCTTCCTCAACCTGGAGAAAACAAAGGAGATAGTTGTTGACTTCCGGAGAACCCACCGTCGACCCCCACTCCCCCTGACCATCAACGGCGCTGCTGTGACGCAGGTGACCAGCACCAAATTCCTTGGTGTGACCATCACTGAGGACCTCACCTGGAAAAACAACACCACCGCACTAGCGAAGAAAGCCCAGCAGCGCCTGTACTTCATCCGGAAGCTCAAGCGAGCCGGAGCATCACCCCCCATCATGCTGTCCTTCTACCGAGGCGCCACCGAGAGCATCCTCAGCAGCTGTATCACGCTGTGGTTCGGAAGCTGCACCGCCGCCGACCGCAAGAACCTGCAGCGCATAGTGAACTCTGCCCAGAGGATCATCGGTGCCTCACTCCCCTCACTACAGGACATATACAACACCCGCCTCACCCGCAAAGCACTCAGCATTGTGGGTGACTCCACCCACCCCTCCAACAGCCTCTTCAGCCTCCTGCCTTCAGGAAGAAGGTTCCTCAGCCTCAGCTCGCGCACCTCCAGGCTGGGCAACAGCTTCCTCCACCAGGCGGTCAGGTTGCTGAACTCTCTCCCCTCCCTCCATCTCTTCCACCCTCTGACATCTCTGCCCTGAACTCTCCACCCTGCCTCCGACCTTTCTCCCCTGCCCCAAATGGTCCTGGACTCTAACCCCCTAAACTCACTTTTCTGCCCATCTCCGCTGCTACTGCACTGAAACTGTACTTTAAACACTTAAATTATATTATTAACATTTTAAACTGTATACCCCGGTTATCTAGGCCCTTTGTTTTGTTTAATGTATACCATGTTTATCTAGGCCCTTTTTGTTTTTTGTTTGATGTATATATGTCACACTGTAGGACTGCGGGAAACGATATTTCTGGATGTACAACATGTAGAATTATTGACAATAAAGCTGACTTTGACTTTGACTTTGACTTTGACAGAGATACTGCAGAGAGAAACACACAGGCCTGGCCACTGTAGACAGCATGGAGGTTGTGTAAGCCCAAGCCAGCGTAAAATACTGAAATAAAGTTGAAGAGGTTCAGAGTAGCAAGGCTGTAAATGAATGTTGACTTGAGGGGATTCCCATTAGATCACCATGTACCAAGGCTGGTCTCATGAAGGCAAAACATGTCTCTTTAATAAACACATACATTTCCTTGAGCAGCTTTAAAAGCTAGATCAGGGTGTTAGTTTTTAAACACATTTAATGTTTCTTTCAGTCAGCCTGGAAAGGGCTGTATGAGGACGTGGTCACCTGGAGGTGGTCACTGTCAGACCCAAGCTTCTACAAACCGGGGGAGATGGAGTTCAGACGATGGGGGTCTGGACAACCAGGCAACACTGACAGAACGATGCTCAATGATTTGTTCTCCTCATGGACTATGGGATGATGTTGTTTGTGACAACCGCTACTGCGCAGTTTGCTGTGAGGTCACAGGTAAGAATATTAATTTCAGATTAATTTGAAGCTTCTGAAATTATATTATTATTATTCTATATCTGACAAATGGTTCCCAAACTTTTTTATATCTGATCTCTTACTTATATTTAAATTCATGTGGAGAGACCGTTTAAAAACACTTTCAGATTATAATATCATACATGTTTATTTAATACATGTGTTCATTTATTGGTGTAATTCCTTATGTCTCGATGATTTCAATGTTATATTTTATATTATAAAGGCATCAATACCACCACAGATGTGTGATTGATGTCAGGCTGTATGTCGTGGTGCCTCTACTCAGCACTTCTCTGGGGTCCATTTTCAGGACCGAATGTGAGATTTCTCTCCACTGATGGTGTAATGACATGGACTGAGGCCCAGAGCTACTGCAGAGAACACCACACAGACCTGGCCAGTGTGAGAAACCCGGCGGAGGAGCAGCAGATTGTTGAGCTGTTACCTGGAGGGATATATTGGATCGGCCTTTCCAGAGACTCCTGGAAGTGGTCCGATGGAAGTTTCTCCTCCTTCAAGTACTGGGCAGAAAATGAACCTAAACACAGAGCTTTTAAGGTTTGTGTGGCTGCAGCTTTCCATGACTCTGGAAAATGGGAGGGCTTGTACTGTGGGTTGAAGAAACCATTCATTTGCTACGGACGTGAGTAACACGAAGATTCACTGTTAAATTCCATAATTCCGTCAAATAAGCTATAAAGAAAACAAAATAATTGTACATATAATTCATTTTCACATTGTTAGAGATGCTAAATTAGGGAATTGGCTTCCATAACATGAGGATTTGATGCTTTACTTCATATATTGTCATAAAAGTAATATGTTTTGGGATCAGACCAAGTTTTCTTCCTGTAATATGTAAGAATATCTTCCAATTATTTCATAAAACACAATTATGCCGTCACCCAAATGGGGATGAAAACTTGAAGCAATATCCCTAAAGATATGTATGACTATTTTAATTACTGTAACAACTTCTAGGGGAAAATATTAATTATTGCTTTTTCTATCCTTCTAAATATTATGATTTGATGCTCCTTTTTTGTCATATATGGTAATATATATATATATGTAATTAATTAATATTTAGCTGTTTTCAAAATAGAAATGTCCTCATGAAAAGCACTTTGGGATGCACCTTGCATGAAAGGTTCCATATAAATAGTCATTATTATTAATGTATTTCTAAGGTTTAATTTTTTCTGATCAAGTAAAGGAAACGTGTCTCGATGTCATTGCGTCTGTTACCATGGACACGGAGTAGTCACAGCGCTCCTGAAGTTAGCGTGCTAAACAGATCTTCAAACAAAACCCTTTTTTTTTCTGTATTGGAGAAATGAGAAACGGCTCTGGTGTCCTTGTGTTCTTCCTGCCCTGCCCTGCTGTGTCTTGTGTTTGAGATTAGTTTTGCATGCTCATACCATCCTTACAGTGTTAAACTCTAACCAAAAGTAAAGCTGTTTTACTGTCAGACTTCTTTATAGTAAAGTACTGTTAACAGTTAATTGTGAAAACAAAATGAATTATTACAGGGTGATACAAATGATATCATAACGTATAGACTTAAGGAGCAAGTATTGATTACCTTTCATTTTGATACTTTGAGTACATGTTCCTGATTATAATCACATAATGCAGGTATTTTGCTTGTAATGTGGTATTTTGACAGTGTTGATCTCATCCAAAGAGAACATACGTATTGTTCCAGGTTTAACCTCTGGGTTGTTTTATTGTGCTGCTTTGACCTTTCTTACTTCTGTTACGATATCCGATAGGACCCAAACGCAGGACACGGCAGAGTGTTGGAAAAAGGTTTATTGTGAGGTGGAGGAGCGTGGAGAGTAATCCTGTAGGAATGAAGACTGGTGAGTGTGGAGAGTAATCCGGTTGGAATGATGACTGGTGGCGGCAGGTGATGGTAACAAGGCGGCTGGAGAGTGATCCTGGAGCATAAGAGAAACGGGTGAGAAAAGTATTCCGTGTACAGAGAAATAGCTTTAAATCGGCTAAGAAGGCTGAGAGTTACCACTGGGGTTTAAACAACGATCTGGCGCTGACATGTTGTGGAGCCTCCGCTGATATACCATTAGTAAATGGCTGAATGGGAATCAGGTGTGTGAGGCTGATTGCAGCAGGTGGAGATTTGCAGCAGGTGGAGATTGAGCCGGGAGCCAGGAGTGACAGCCACCACGCCCACACAGACAGGGAAAGGGAACACACACTCACAAGGGAGGTGGCTGAAGAGTAGAGCCACCACAGTACCCCCCCCCTTAAGGGACGCCTCCAGGCGGTCTACCAGGTCTACCAGGGTTATCACGGTGGAAGTCCCGAACCAGGGACGCGCCCACGATGTTTCGCCGGGGAACCCAAGACCTCTCCTCTGGACCATAGCCCTCCCAATCCACAAAATATTGGAATCCCCTTCCACGGCGACAAACGTCCAACAATCGCCTGACGGTGTAGGTTGGGTGATCATTGATGATGCGGGGGGGGTGGGGGAACACTCACTGGAGGAGACAAGGGGCTGCTGGCAACAGGTTTCAACAGAGAAACATGAAATGTCGGATGAACCTTCATGTGTGGGGGAAGCTTGAGTTTTACTGCAGATGGGTTGATAACTGAGTCGATGATGAAGGGGCCGACATAACGTGGCGTGAGTTTCTTCGACTCTGTCTTGAGTGGGAGATCTTTGGAGGAAAGCCAAACACTCTGACCTGGTAAGTAGTTGGGAGCCGGGGTCCTGTGGCGGTCTGCGATGAGGCAGTTGCGGGCAGCGGAGCGGAGCAGGGCGGCTCGGGTGTCCCTCCACACCTTATGACAGCGACGAAGGTGGGTCTGAACGGAAGGAACAGCAACCTCCTCTTCCTGGGATGGAAACAGGGGTGGTTGGAAACCCATGGCACAATGAAAGGGTGAAATACCTGTGGCTGCATTTGACAGGGAGTTGTGGGCATATTCGATCCATGGCAGATGTGGGCACCATGACGAAGGGTTCCTGAAAGCCACACAGCGAAGAGCCGCCCCCAGATCCTGGTTGGCCCGTTCTGTTTGCCCGTTCGTCTGAGGATGATATCCAGATGACAGGCTCACTGATGCTCCCAGAGCCTGACAGAAGGCTTTCCAAACGTGGGAAATGAACTGGGGACCCCGGTCAGAGACGATGTCGGTGGGAATCCCATGGAGTCGAACAACATGATTGACCAGAAGATCTGCAGTCTCTCGGGCTGTGGGAAGCTTGGGAAGAGCAACAAAGTGTACCATCTTGGAAAATCTGTCCACAATAGTTAGGATGATGGTATTTCCTTGTAACAGTGGAAGTCCAGTGACAAAATCCAAGGCCACATGCGACCAAGGACGCCTAGGTACCGGCAGCGGCCGAAGCAGGCCAGAGGGAGATTGGTGGGAGGACTTGGCGCGGGCACATACTGTACAGGCAGCAACAAAGGCCCTGGTGTCTTGAGCCATGGAAGGCCACCAGAACCGTTGTTTTAGAATAAACAGTGTGCGATGGACACCAGGATGACACGAGAGACAGGAGGCGTGTGCCCACTGCAGGACCTTGGAGCGAACAGGGGTAGGCACAAAAAGACTATTAGCTGGGCAGTTACCTGGGTTAGGTTGCGCCCGCTGAGCCTCCTTAACCAATGACTCAATCTCCCAGGTAACAGCCGCCACCACGCAGGAGGCAGGCAGGATAGTGTCTGGATTGGCAGCTGGTCCTTCGGAAGCGAACTGGCGAGAGAGAGCGTCCGGCTTGAGGTTCCGTGACCCTGGACGGTAGGTAAGGGTGAATGAGAAGCGGCCGAAATACAGGGCCCATCGAGCCTGACGAGAGTTAAGGCGCTTGGCAGATTGGATGTACGCCAAGTTTTTGTGGTCTGTCCATACAATAAAAGGGAGCTCGGCTCCCTCCAGCCAGTGCCTCCACTCCTCTAGGGCAAGTTTGACAGCCAGCAGCTCTCTGTTACCCACGTCATAGTTCTTCTCAGCTGGAGTGAGGCGGCGAGAGAAAAATGCACAAGGATGTAATTTTTGGTCTCGTTCCGAGTGCTGGGAAAGAGCTGCCCCTACCCCGGTGTTGGAGGCATCGACCTCCACCACGAACTGGCGAGAGGAATCAGGGTGGATGAGCACAGGGGCAGTGGTGAAAAGTCTCTTTAGCTCAGAGAAGGCTGCATCGCACTCTGGGGTCCAGAAAAAACCAGTTGTAGGGGAAGTGAGTCTGGTTAAAGGGCCCGCCACTCTGCTGTAGTCTCTGATGAAGCGCCGATAAAAATTGGCGAAACCAAGAAACTGTTGAAGCAGTTTAACTGAGGTTGGTTTGGGCCACCCCGCCACCGCTTGGATCTTCTCAGGGTCGGTCCTAATCTTTCCTTCCTCAACGATGTAGCCCAGGAATGAGACTGTGTTGACATGGAATTCGCATTTCTCCGCCTTCACAAAGAGTCTGTTTTCAAGGAGTCTCTGCAGCACCTGCCTGACATGGATAATGTGCTCCTCCTTGTTACGGGAGAAAATGAGAATGTCATCCAAGTAGACAAAGACTGACCGGTTGAGGAGGTCACGGAGTACATCGTTCACCATTGACTGAAAAACTGCTGGGGCATTCGTCAGTCCAAAAGGCATCACCAGATACTCAAAGTGACCGAGTGGTGTGTTAAAGGCAGTCTTCCACTCGTCCCCTTCACGGATTCTGACGAGGTGGTAGGCATTGCGGAGGTCCAGTTTGGAAAAGATGGTGGCTTCCTGGAGGGGTTCAAAGGCGGAGTTAATGAGGGGTAACGGACATTTGTTTTTTATAGTGATGGCATTGAGACCCCTGTAATCAATGCAGGGCCGCAGTGAGCGGTCCTTCTTGGACACGAAGAAGAACCCAGCACCGACCGGGGAGGAGGATGGGCGGATGACACCAGCAGCCAGGGAGTCATGGATGTAACTCTCCATGGATTTTCTCTCAGGGCGAGACAGGTTGAACAGACGTGAGGAAGGCAGAGGGGCCCCGGGAAGGAGGTCAATGGGACAGTCGTAGGGTCGATGAGGAGGAAGAGAAAGAGCTCGCTGTTTACTGAACACCTCTCCGAGGCTATGATATTCCATGGGGACAGATAACAGGTCAGGCGGCTCGATCTTGGGTGGTGGAGCGGCGGCCTCTGCTGGCGGTAGGGCAGACTGCAGGCATGAGGATAAACAAAAACAACTCCAACTAATGATTTTGCCAGTTATCCAATCAATCTGGGGGTTGTGTGTTCTTAACCAGGGATGACCCAACACTATGGGAGCATGAGGTGAGGAAATTAGGTGAAACTGAATAAACTCACGATGGTTTCCAGACAGAATGAGGTTTACTGGCTTGGTGCGGTGAGTGACTTGGGCCAGGAATTGTCCATTTAGAGCAGCGGTTTTCAAAGTGTGAGGCGCGCCTCCCCTGGGGGGCGCCAGAGAGCTTCAGGGGAGGCGCAGCGTGAGAAAAAAATAAAGAGAAACAATGAAATCTAGCTCGTTAACTTCAGCTAACTTTATGCGAGCGGCAACATGGATCGATTTTTAGTGAAGTTACCTAAAGTGAGAGAGGAGACAGCGTCTGGCCACCCCAGTTGGCAGCTTTGTTTTGAAATAAAAGTTGTGGCTCATCGGACATTTATCAGAGAAAATCCCTGATGTCCGAGTGCAAGTGAAT